GACATATTATATACATATCTATGGTATTAAACAAAAAATTGACCTATAATGGGTACCTATAATAAATTCCAAATTAATCATATCAAAATATCCATTAGGTACTTATAACGCGTTATACATCAACAAAACCGTGATACTATCATAGATATATAATAGTACACTTTAGAAGTTTCAAGTATCCACGAATAATATTATACATCACAACAAAATAACTAAAATAGTTATTCTAGGTTTTTAATATGTAATTTCGTCCAAATTTGAATTTAAAATGTCTGTAAAAAATAACTGTGTTCATATATTTTTTAGATTTTTGGTTACAGTATGAACTATTTACGAGAACCTTTGTGTTGAATTTGCAATCCTTAGCTATAAAACTGAACATTTTATAATTTATTAATTACAATGATTGATAATGTTCGAGATTTTGATAAATTTTGTCAAATTTGATCTTTAAATGCTTATAAAAAAAAACTGTGCCTATGTATTTTTATATTTTTCAACTGATATTGTAACAATATATCAGGAGCCTTGTATTAATTTTTACACTTTTTGGCCCAACAGATAAAACTTTATTGATATTTATAGAAAAAAAAACTAAAAAAAATTGAAAGCTGTAAATGTCCATAAACAGCTCAAAAAGAGTCAAAATATTTTCAAAATTGTATGGTGTATAGAAAATGCTAATTTAAACATTCAGTGAAATTTTCATGTATCTACAGTTATTTGTTTTTGAATTACAACAAAATAAGGAAATCGCTACATGGGAAATCGAGTTTCAAAATTCAATGTTGTAAAAATTTGAATTTCAAACGCTCATAAAAATTTAATTTGACTTTCTTATAAACATTTTTCTTTTGATAAAGGTAGACAAACTTATAAGGAATCTTGTGTTTAATTTTCAAATCTTAGATTTAAAAAGAAAAATTTTTACGAATTCTTAACTCAAAATAATTTGCTAATTTTCGTGATTTTCCCATATTTTGTCAATTTTTGAACTTTAAATGCTTATAAAAAAAAATTGTGACTAAGGATTTTTAATATTTTTCATCTGCCTTTGAAGCAATATATTAGGAGCCTTCTATTAAATTTTCAAGCTTTTTCAACCAACAAATAAAATTTTATTGATATTTTAGAAAAAAAACTAAAAAAAAATGGAAAATGAAAATGTCCCTAAACAGTTCAAAATAAATCAAAATATTTTGAAATGTTATCGTGTATAGAAAATGCAAATATAAACAACCAGTGAAAATTTCATGTATATACGTTCATTTGTTTCAGAGTTACACCAAAAACCAAAATCGATTTTTTGGAAAACCAATTTTGCGTAAAAATTCCCGTTTTTCCTTAATTTTTATGTTGTTTTTCCCGGCGCTTGTGAAAACTACTGGAAAATGTATACTTTTGACCCCCCAAAGTACCAACTAGATTCACTTTCCTATCAGAAAAGCTACTGATGAAGAAAATCCAAGCACTTTTACTGTCCTAAAACGTGATGACAGACACAAAAAAAATAAAAAATAAAAAAAAAAAAAAAAAAATAAAAAAAAAATAAAAAACACACATCATTGTAAAATCAATACATTCATCGTTTCACTCAGAATCTAAAACACACATCATTGTAAAATCAATACATTCATCGTTTCACTCAGAATCTAAAATTAGTTATTTGTAGTGCTTACCTCTGTGAGTCTTAATAAGAAAACAGAATTACGATATCTCTATTATTTCAGGAGATATCGCAATGAGTAAATCCTCACGGGACACCCTGTATTGTTACAATGACATTTAAAAAATATTAAAAATACTTAGTCACAGTTTTTTTTTATAAGCATTTAAAGTTCAAAAATTGACAAAATATGGAAAAATTACGAAAATTAGCAAATTATTTTGAGTTAAGAATTCATAAAAATGTTTAGACATTGTAGGTATAATAAAAATAGATAAGATTATCTACATTTATAAAAAAAAGAAAAATGTCTATAAGAAAGCCGATAAATATAAAACAACTTGAAAACAAATAATACAACTTGAATAAAAAAAATAAAACTGACAATATTTCAGTAAACATTTCTTTTTTTAACTATAATAATATTGAAATTTGGATTCTCTACTCGGTTCTCATAAATTATTGGCTATTTCAGTATTTAAAAATATTCTTAATATTATATTATTTATCTAGATAAGATAATTAAAGAAATAATTTTAAACATTGGTCGGTAATCGCGTTATGTTATCTTATAAAATAAATATAGTTTCCAAATATTATAATAAATTAAAAGGGATAATAAAAAATTATCCATACTCAATATTATGTTAGCTGTTCCAAAGTACAATATTGCTTATTTCTAATTTTTAAGGGGGCTTTAATTTCAAATTAATTATTTTGGGGAGACCAAGCACCCGTAAGCAACCCTTCCCCCACCCGATTTCCACTTATGAACCAATGCTACACATTTACTAACGTCTAGTTACACATCTACCCGAAGGGTAGGTTACCCATCCAATCCTTCCCCACCACAAGTATCCAATGAGATGTCATTAGAACCCCGAGTTTTTCGACCGTATCCGGAAGGAATAGGGAGCGACTACTTGTCAGTTGTCACAATTTAATTAGCAAGGTTACACCTTATTAAGCTACCCATTTACTTTCAGTGAAGGTCTCCCCCGATCACATAGTACAGTAGGTATATTCTTATATCATATTTGTAGAGTACAGGATATTATAGCAAAAACGGTTTTGCGCGGGATAGTAGTATAGAACCACTCAGGCTGTAATGTTAAGTCTACAAATTGATATACAAATAGTTGAGAACATTATCTGTGAATTTTTTTTTTCATTTTTTTGATATCATTTATACAAAAAAAGTTCTTATTGTTTCAAAATCCATTATTTTTGTGTTTTTCAAACTTTAATAACTTTTTTTTAGTACCGATATCAAAAAATAAAAACAATATTTCATAGCCAAAGTTCTCTTTTTAAGTGGTGAAAATTTTGTTTCTTAGTTACATGGCTATGGCCTTCAGTGTTTTTTCCCACGTATAATAGTTTTTGCTATGTTTTATATTTGTAAGAAGGAGACCACACATGCGGGTGTAGCGTCCTTTTAATAATAATTGTTTTTAGATAGTTTATGGAAACTAAAATAACATAAAAATGATTAGGTTTTTGATTAAAAATAAAATAATGACAAAAATAAAAAGAATTTATTTAGAAACCCAACTTAATACAATTTAAATTTATTAAAAAAATATGCAAAATAAAATCTCACGTCTTTTAAGCTCCTTTTGCTACATATTGCATTTGTAGATAGGTACATTTTTAATTTATTGTAAAAGCATGCAAGTAGCTAATAATGAACAAAAATCAATCTAACAATTTAATATTCCAATGTGTGTATTTTAATACTACAAGCTGATACACAGTTTTCAACTGACACAGCATGTTAACATTAATTTAGAAAACTAGACGAAAAAGATACTCTTGAAGAGACTGGGGGCTGATGGAAAAATTGTCACATTATAAAAATGTAGTAGTATTGTATGATTTTAGAAATTTCACTTCGTTCAAAATTTGGAGTAAAATTAAATTACAATTATTGTTTTGTTACAAACAGAACAGAATGCTATAAAAGACAATCTTGATGTTTCTTTTATAAATAAAGTTAAATTATTTCTATGTACGAGTAGGTAAATGACTGTGATTTAAAATTATGCAAACATTTGACCATCTTCCATTTTTGTAAATTCAGGAAAAATTAACTACCTTTCTACCAAAAAGTACTGATTTAAAATGTTTTAACTATGTAAAAATCAATAACATTTTTGGTTAAAATCTATAATATTAACAGAATGTTATTAAGAAATTAGATAATTATAAATATTATAATATTAATGATATGTAGAAACTTGAAACTCTATTTAGGTTAACATAAAGTTCATATTTGTTTAGAAATCAAAATATACAAGTCTCTAAGGAGGCAACACCAATTGTTCCAGTTTTTGCAACTTACTGGTGAATGGTGATCAAATAAATATTTTTTAATGCCAATTGATAGTCTTTTTTAAGTCAAATACGGGGTTAAATACAATTTAACTAAAATTGTGAGGTGTTTGTTGTTGCTTTTTAAGCAATAATAATACAAAATAAATAAAAAAACCAAATAAGTTGTTATACTAAGGTGTGTTATATTTACATAAATAGGGGTGGGGGCTTAGCCCCACCAAAGTTACTCTAGCCCCTTCAAGATAATTTAATCTTCAAACTCGTATAAGATTAATTCAAAATAAACATAGCAAAGTAAAATGCTTGAGTACAACATACAGATATACACCAATGCCAACGATATCACCTCAATAAATAGAACTTTATAAGTCATAAGACATTTAAATTTTATAAGTGCATTTGTATTTTGATGTTAAGTTTTATATTGATCTATTAACCGTCAACTAATCTAATTCAGTCAAAATTAATAGTTTATTATTATACATTTGTAAAGGAAAGCTTGAAACAATTCTTGAACACTTTCATTAGCAATTATAAAAAAAAAATGAAACGAGTTAAAATTATTATTTTTATAGATATGTGGGGAGAAGGGACAAGCTCCAAAAAGTTACTTTTTAAGAAAATGTATGGAGCAATTTATTGCTTCAGTGCTTCAGCCCCCCTCCCCAGATTTTGGAGCTAGTTGTACCACTGTATATTGATTATTGACAACATTTCTAAATATTTTAAACCTTATTTATCATATATTGCTGACACATTTTATTATGTAACTTACCTGTTTTATATTGCCTCAAAAAAAAAAAAACAAATATTATCAATAGAGTTGTATTTATTAAAAAAAAAAAATTGGTTTTTATAAATATTAATTCAGTTATTTAATAAACAAATAACTTTAAATTATGTTTAATGATTTGTCAAGACTTTATTTGGTAAACATAAACATGCGTGTGCTCAAAAACAATCTACAACGTTTACATAATTTATTATTAATACTTACTACATTGTTCAATTTCATCATCTTTATCAGAATCATGTTTATTCGTCGAAGACATGTTGTTATAAACCAATCATACGACGAAACAAACCATAACTGAACGTAATGCATTGTTGATCATGTTATGTGTCGTTTGAGTTCAACATGATCAATCAAATTACTGATTACCATTGTCAGTTTAATGAATTGAAATATAATTAAAATGAGTTAAAAAAATAACTAGTGAACATTAGGTATAATATGTAGAAATGAAACTTAAACAATGTAAAACTACTTTACTTACCATGGCTGATTATGTTTAAACACTGAATGCTGACTGTGTACTTGAATAAATCTGGTACAAAATTTATATTGTTCCATCATAGATTAGTGACTGTGTATAGAAATTCATTATTTTATGTACTAAAGCAAAAAGTATTAAGAATTATTATTAATTCTGAACTATATTTATGGAAAGCTGTGAAATTTGTTGGCGTTTAAAAACTTTTTATCACATCATTATCACTGTATCACATATTATTGTTTTTAATACCATGGTATGAGTAGGTAGAAAGTTATAGATTTTATGTTGCCAATATCGATATACCTTGGTTGTTCTATGGTTGTATAACGATAGTATATCGTGGTGGATATCAAATGTTTGTCAAATTATCATGAAGTAAAAATTGTTGTATACTATATAGCTATAAACTATAATAATGTGTTTATAGTTAAAAAATGTGGATGAAGAAATTATTAACAGAATAATTATATTATTGTTATGTGTTTGTTTTTTAGATAATTCTAGTTTTGTATTTTCATTGCGCATTTTAAAATTGTCTTTTATAAATTAACTTCAATTTTTGTTGTTAACAATTCAATTTGTTGAAATTAAATTTGAAAACAAACAATTGATGCCAAACGAACACATTTTTTCTTCTTCCTGTCGCGTTTCATCAGGTAACGAATATCTATTGTCTATTACTATTTACTAACATTCTTAAAATATATTAACTGACCTCCGAATGATCGTGTAGAATATTTTAAATTGTACTTAGGTATCTATATCATTATAATTTGAATAACAATTGTTTTAAAAGATCACAATTTTCAATACATAAAAATATTATATGGATTATGGTCATGATATTTTAAATTCTGTGAATCATGATATAAATAATATTGATTTTAAAACAGGCTTGAAAATATTTTATTTAATATTATAATTGTGTTATTATGATAGGTACCTAACTTAAAATATAAAAGTATTGAGCACATATATTTAAAGAAACAAAATTTTTGTTGCCATTATATTATTCTATTTTATCTATTATTAAGTCGATAAAATGGTCTCCCAAAAAACTCTTTATGTTGTACCTATAAGTTTTTATACAAATGTAAACATTTTTATTGATTAGTATAACAAAACCGTTTTACAATTCAAAATTCAAATTCAATTAAATGAGCATGGCATAGTATGTGGATTTTGGGGGAGATTGCACTATTTTACTTTACACTTAATGTGCAGTTTTAGACTATAGTAATTTTTTGTCATCCATACTAGATGAAAAATGCAGAGTAATAATATAATGTCTACTACCTAAATATTATAATACAAATTTAAAAATTGTTTAATAGTATCATTTTTATTGTCTTTTATAGTTTTAATATAAGTAAATTATAATAATAGTTCATAAAAGTAAAAGAACTTTTTTACTGATTATAAATAATCTTTGATCGGTTTTGTAGATTTATAATTTATAAAAAAGTAGTTATGAAAATTATTAAATTATTGAATATAGTAAAGTCAGCAATTATTGTGATCACTTATATGGGAAGTTGATTCTATCGATTAACAATTTGACATTGGTGAAATTTTTTAGAAACTCAGTATTTTTTGATAAAAATGACAAACCTTTTTTATGGCAATCTGTGCCAATGACAGTTAGTCCAGAAAAAAACATTACCGGAATAATGATCCTGTACTTTGGAATCAACCAAATTTAATTATTATTTTTAACTAGTAGAGGGTAATATTTTACAGGCCACATTGAGCTCCGTTTTTCAATATTTAAAAATAAGAAAAATTAAAATATTTTTTTCTAAAATTATTTAATTATACTGTTTGTAATAAAATAAAAAATCAGAGTTCAATAGCGGCCTGGAGGAAGTTTTCTAATTTCAGATAAAAATAATAGATATGAAAATCCTACATAGTCTGAGTATTTTTCCTTGGGAGTAATTTTTGTTGTTATAATACATCGTATCAACCCCAGTTATCGGGAAGTAGATTAAAAGTATTATAATTAAGATAGTAATTAAAATATAAAATACAATTTTCAAATTTAATGGAATTGCGGGGAATTTGAATAACCGGCCACCGGGTCAATAAATATTTAAACATAGACATATTAATATGTCTATGATTTAAAAGTAAAAACCCAAATTTCCGTTTTATTATACGTTTATATTTTTATTTTAAATTGTCGAATATTTCATGATTTCCCAGCCGTTAATTTTAAATTTGTGTTGTAGATTAATTACTAATAAATAGTAATTATCTATCTACACTGTACAGCATGTCGGCATTGACATAATATTATAAATATGTTTATTGTATATTGATATTAAAAAACTATTTTGCCATAAAAAACATAATTGCCAATTATTAATTGGCTACACTGAATGAACTCTATCGTGTGTAGTGTTTTAAAACGTAAAAATTGGAGACCATGTTTTTCTTTAATCTTTTTATCTTAGCCGGCATATTATGTTTATGTATATAGCTGCAGTTAGCAGTAGTCAGTTTTAATATTTATTTTGAATAAATAAAAATAATTATTATTAATTTAAACTTTTAAGGCAATCCTTTAGTTTTTAATTTTAAATAGAGTCTGGGCATTTATATATTGGTTCTGTTTTTGTATCTGACAAAATAATTCGCAAATTATATTATATATATATATATATTATTGTTTCTTTTAAATTGATATAAGTAATGTCAAAATTAGATCCCAACGGTATTTCTACTTTGCCTTGGTATAATGACGAATTTGGTAAGTATTTTATTTTTATTTTTACAAGAAATATACCATTTAAACCTTATAGTAAAGGTAATAATCTATTTATTTATTATAGCTTTTTAAGAATTATATAATTTACTTCCTATTGTGTATCAAATATACGAAAAGATTTAACGAAGCGTTTTCATTTACTTATATACAAATATAATATAGAAACAAATTTTACTATTACTTCAAAATGTAGAATTATTGAACAATTAATAATAATATTATATTATATTCTATAATGGTGTTTGTCGTTTATGATATTTATACTTTTGTAACTTATATTAAGTCAAAAAATATCCTGATCATGTACCGACGTACAATTATATTTGTCACGAAGTTCGATATTTTAATATTACTATTTTCTTTTAAGGTTCATTTAATATAGTCATATATATTATGTTTAATAAATTACACACCATAACAAAATAAATAAATTAATTTGTCCTGTTATACACGTCGATAATTGATAATTTTCAGTTTTTGCTGATTAAATTAAAAGTAAATAAACTACAGCTCATTATTTTGCTTCTGACTTAGTGATAGTGCAGTACTGTATTCACTAGTTACCTTGTTCCTCATGCCACAGGCTTGTACCCGGATTTATATGAGATCATTGACCCGTATATATAATATTATCTCGAGTTCAAGGACATTACCTGTAATGTATTTACTACACTTTTTTTTAACATTTTTTATTCCATGAATTTGCAATAGGTACAATTTTTACATTTAGGTAGGATTTATGAATTATTTAAATTTCATTTTTACATGTATTTGGAATTTAATAGGATATAATAAGTAATAATTAGGGATTAACCTAGCTATTTATGTATGCTATAATATTATATCATTTAATTTCCCGTGTTTATTTATAGTAATCAAATTAATTGGTTAATAAGGACTTTTTAGGATCAGATAAAATGGGTTAATTTATTATACACATTATACCTATTTATAATTATTTATATTTATATTTATTATACATTTTAAATTGATCACGGGTAATCAGTAAACAATAATGAATACATGGTGCATCATTAAAATACAATACAAATACTTTTATTTTTGAAATTTTTAATAAAATTCTGTCTTACAATATTTTTAGTTACTTTAATAAATATGTGTTAAATAACTTTCATTTAATTCCAGTAAGAATAACTTATGAGAAGCTTTGTGTTTTTAAAACTGAGTTACCTATATAAAAATTTGAACTTCAAACGCTTATACAAAAAAAAAAAAAAAAGGTGAGTAAGTGGATGTCGCTCTGCTGTACAGTAGGTTACAAGTGGGTCACTGTATAATGGATGCTATTAAATTTGAATTCAATGATACAATATCATTGTATAAGAAAAACGATTCTGAGCGAAGACGGTATGTCAGTCTAGGTTTAAGACAAATTATATACATATCTATGGTATTAAAAAAAAAATTGACCTATAATAAATTCCAAATTAATCATATCATATCACAATATCCATTAGGTACTTATAACACGTTATACATCAACATCAATAACAAACCCTGATACTATCATAGATATATAATAGTACACTTGAGAAGTTTCAAGTAGGTACCCACGAATAATATTATATAATCACAACAAAATAACTAGGTTTTTTAATATGTAATTTCGTCCAAATTTGAACAAAAAATTACTATAAAAATAAACTGTGATTGTATATTTTTTAGATTTTTCAGTAAGAGAATTAACTACTTCCGTGGAATCTTGTTTTAAATTTTCAATCCTTAGCTATAAAAACTGAACATTTTATAATTTATTAATTACGATGGTTAATAATTTTCGAGATTTTTAAAAATTCTGTCAAATTTCGATGTTTAAATGCTTTTAAAAAAAAATTGTGCAATATATTTTTGATATTTTTCAACTGATATTGTAACAATATATCAGGAGCCTTGTATTAATTTTTTACACTTTTTGGCCCAACAGATAAAACTTTATTGATATTTATAGAATAAAAAACTAAAAAAAATGGGAAACTGAAAATGTCCGTAAACAGCTCAAAAAGAGTCAAAATATTTTCAAAATTGTATGGTGTATAGGAAATGCTAATATAAACATTCAGTGAAATTTTCATGTATCTACAGTAATTCGTTTTTGAATTACAACAAAATAAGAAAATCGTTACATGAGAAATCGAGTGAATATCCAGTGTTGTAAAAATTTAAATTTCAAACGCTCATAAAAATTTAATTTGACTTTCTGGTAGAGATTTTTTTATTGATAAAGGTAGACAATCTTATGAGTAATCTTGTATTCTTAACTCAAAATAATTTGCTAATTTTCGTGATTTTTCCATATTTTGTCAATTTTTGAACTTTAAATGCATTGAAAAAAAAACTGTGACTAACGATTTTTAATATTTTTCATCTGCCTTTGAAACAATATACTAGGAGCCTTCTATTAAATTTTCAAGTTTTTTTTAACCAACAAATAAATTTTTATTGATATTTCTAGAAAAAAAACTAAAAAAAAATGAAAAATGAAAATGTCCCTAAACAGTTCATAATAAATCAAAATATTTCGAAAATGTTATCGTGTACAGAAAATGCAAATATAAATGAAAATTTCATGTATCTACGGTCATTTGTTTTAAAGTTACACCAAAAACCAAATTCAATTTTCTGAAAAATCGATTTTGCGTAAAAATTCCCGTTTTTCCTTAATTTTTCTTTTGTTTTCTTGGCGCTTTTGAAAAGTACTGGGAATTTTAAATTTTGACCTCCCCAATGCACCAACGATATTCACTTTCCAATCGAACAAGATACTGAAGTCAAAAATCGAAGCATTATATCGACTACTTATCGTGTACACAGACACAAAAAAAAAAATAAATAAAAAAAAAATATAAAAACACACATCATTGTAAAATCAATACATTCATCGTTCCACTCAGAATCTAAAATTGTTATGTATAAATAATATTTTTAGATTGCTATAAATACCTTGGATAAAGAAACGTTAATTCAAACATAGTGAAAATACAATTATTTTAACAGCTCGAAATAAATTGTAAAAATTCAAATGTCTATTAATAGCTTAGAAATAACAAAATATTTAGAAAACTATACCATATCTATAAAAAATACTAATACAGAATGTAACAAAACGACCTCACAGATGAAAAATTATTAAAAGTTAAACGTATGAAAAAAATTATGAACATTTCCAAAAAAATTATAATTCATACCATAGAGTAATATTACTCTGATTCATACCAAAATAATATATTATAATTAAAATATTTAAAAAAAAATTAATAATTAAACTATAATTGACTTAAATGAATGTTTTTAACATTAACATTGTTTAATTAGATTTACAGTTGGCTATATTAAGTATTCCAAAAGAAAATTAATCAAAATTATTAATTTCATTTTCAGCATTAAAAAATAAATATAAAACAATTTATACCATACTTGTAGCACTAGCTCCCATATACTATGTTCAAAATACAACATTTTAAAATATTGATTTGAACAAAAGTTTCTATTGCATTTGTCAGGTCTTTGTTAAACCTTGTATAAATATATTTATAGAAAATAATTTATTAACTGCCGTTATTTTTTAATAAATTATAACAAAACAACAAAAGCCGGTGATCCATATTAAAAATATTCCCTTTTCCCCCTATATTTTGTAGTTAGTTCTTCTCGATTGTTTTTCCTAATTACCTATCCTAAAAAGTATACTTTTGAAACTACACTTAAAGTTGAAGATTTATGAATTGTTTCTGCTCTAAATTACATATGACAAGACACAAAACTAAAGGACATCACCCTGCTGTGTTGTTTTGTGACTGGTGTAGAGTCAGTGTATGCCTCATTCAAGTTGATCACTGACCACTGTGGTACTATGATCATAATGGATGTTTTAAATTTGAATTCAATGTAAATCATTGCATACAAAATACCGATCCTGATCGAAAGCGTTTTGTCAGCCTATTTATTATATTATCTTGATATATTTATATTGCTATTTAAATTTTACAAAATATACTTGGGTAGTATAATTTATTTTACTATTAGTAACGGTAGGTTAAATTATTTTTTGCCTTAAACATTGCATATTTTATTATATTATTTAATTATTATTTATTATATAGTATATATTTATATCATATTATACTATTGTTATTAACTTTTGAGTCAGTACCGATTTACCATATAGAATGGTGTGAAAATAAATGTTGTGTAAATGTCAGTGCCTATTAAATATAATGATATACATAAAAGTCTCAAATCTCGACAATAATATTTAAAAATAACAACAAGATAACTAAACATATTTATTCTTTATTTAAATATTTAATTTTGTAATTAACTAACTTAAAACGTCCTTAAAAACAATTACGTTTATATATTTTTTTTCAGTATGAACTGTTTTTGAAAAACCTTGTATTAGATTTTTCAAACTTTAGCTATACAAATTGAAGATTTAATAAATTGTTTACTACAAAACAGTTTTTTAAATAGTTTTTTTGATTTTGGCGAATTTTGTTATTATTTGAATTTTAAAAGCTTATAAAAAATATGCATGTGCATAACATGTTTGATGGATCCTTTAGTTATAAACATTGCTTATAATTTGTGAGTGTAATTTTTTTCTTTACAATTAGGTATTTTCAATTAAAACACTAAAAGATGTAGGGAGGTAAATTGTACTCGTGTTAAAGTAATAACTATAAAAATAAATTCAAAATTTAACATAATTTGATTGAGTCATTACTATGTAAAAATGCCTTTAAATTCAAAAGATCTTAAAATGTAATAAAAAATTATTAGGGTCATAGCTCAATTTATAATTAATTATTAATCTACTTAATACTTGTTGATTAATGATTATTAATAAACTGTTACTGATACTAACTAATAATTAATAACCTGCACAAAGAAATAATTATGTTATAGACTTAAGTAAAAATCGTATTTATATATTTTTTTTAGAAATGATGGATGTATTGGTCGAACCTAAGGATGAACTATTTGAGGTAAGCGTATGTTATATAGTTATATTATGATAATCAATAAATACTGTATGAACATTATTATTTGCCGTGCTTTATTTATACTTGTTATTAACTAAAAAGTATTATTCCATTTTAGTTTGATGAGCTTAAGATGGAACCATTTTCGCCTTATTTTGGAGATGATATAAAATTCAATATAGGAGTTAGCGATCTAGATACTGATCACATGATGCAATGGAACATTGAATCATGTTTTGAAAATGGTAATATTGTATCAAGTATAATTTTATCTGTAGAATAATGTATTTAAATATTTTAGGTATTGGTTTGGAAAAAAACTATACATCACCTCCATCATCTCCTTCTTCAAACGGGTCAACCCCTAGTGGTGATTCACAATCATCATTTGATTCAAACCAAGTATTTGCTACAATATATTTATTAAGTTTTAGTATATGTAATATAATAATTTTCTTTTTTTTTGTTATTGTTTAAAAAGGTATTACCGAGAATAATATTACCAAATATGAATACAATTTGTGATACTAATACTGTAATTGCTCTAAAATCTAAGAGTGGGATTCAAACACTTCCAAAATTGAAAATATCTCCAGCTCCAATTAAACCAATATTAAATTCAGCTTCTAGAGCTAATAATATTTTAATAAATAATAATTGTAAATTATATTTTGATAAATTATTTTTAAAACTGGTTTTTTAGGGTGTTTTTAATTTTTAAATTTTATTACATTTTTTAGTCAATGTGTCTTCAATGCTGACTGATCAAACTAATCAATCTCCAGTTACAATTTCAAAATCATTTGGTAATTAGTATTATAAAAACGATATTAGGACAAACAGTCCTCTGACATTTTGCCTCAAAATTAAGGGATACTAATCAATTTTTGATGATTTTTAAATAAACCATTCCAGAACAAGTAAAATATCCATTTACTTTGAAAAACCTTGTAAGATACATCATATGGTAAAAAAAAATGTTTTGTTTATATTTGGCGGTCCAAATGTATTATTTTATTTCACATACCTATATCATGCAATGCTGATGAATTCCTATAGTGGCTAAATGTCAGATGTATAATAAAAACAAATTATGTTTTAATTATAGTTGATTTTTAAATTTTAAGCAAAAACTTTTCCACGAAAGATTATACTAACTCCAGATCAATTTTCAAAAATAACCAAATTCCAAAAACAAAAACAAGTTGATTTAAATGTATCAGCTGCAATACCATTAGTAACAAGTACTACAGAAGTTAATACTCAATTGACATTGCCAGCAGTTGAGGTTGATATAGCAAAATCTAAAAACTATTCTACTACTATACAATATAATCAAGTATAAAATGTATTATTAAAATAAACAAAATATATTTAATATCTATTATATGTATTGATTAGTTAAGTGCAATAAAACGACATCAACGCATGATACGAAATCGAGAAGCAGCAAGTTTATCTCGTAAAAAGAAAAAAGAATACGTAACATCATTAGAAGAAAAAATAACTATATTGGAAAAAGAAAATTTGGAGTTAAAAATTGTTAGTCAATAAATAAATTTTCAACTTAATATAACACAAATATTTACTATTAACTTTACTAAAACAATATTACTTTCTATTTAGGAAAATTCAGCATTGAAGGAAAGGCTCAAAATTTTTGACAAATTATCTTCAATAACAGACAGACCTATTATCAAAAAAGCCAAAAAAGCTACAGCTATATTATCAGTAGTTGTAATGATTTCTTTAAATATCGTTCCTTCAGGGTAATTACTGATAACACATATTTATACTTTTAATTTAAATAATTTTACTTCCTTAGGCTTTTCAATACAAGACAATTTGACAAATCAGAAATGCAAATGAATCTTGGGGAAAATTACAAAACCAAAAATATTGATAACATAAATTTTCATAGCAGAAATCTATTATGGGTCAGTGATTTTGAAGACACTAATTCATCATTGAATGCTACTGAACATTTGATGTGTCCAACATTTATAAATGTGTCTGAATCAAAAAGGTTTGTACAATTATTTTACTTAAGTAGATTATAAAATATATTTTTTAACTTAGGATATTTAAATTTTATAAAGTACATTAATATTTAAAAAGAAAGGTGGACAAGGTGATACCTCTCTGCTGTACAATAGTTGTCGAGCGTGTTGTTGTAATGGATATGTTATACTTGAATTTTTTTTTTTATTAATTAACCCGCGACAACTTATGCTATTGGGTAGTTTTTAACCATGGGGGAGGGGGGTACCGTAGGTTTTTTTAAACACGTGTGTTTTAGTTTGGCAGAAATATATACTTGAATTATTCAATTGATAAATCAATAAATGTGGTGATGTTCTGTCACACTAGTATACTTGTATAAATAATCAAAAAACAAATTAATAAAAATTGAAAAAAAAAACATGGTTATAAAAAGAGTAACATTTCAGTGAAATTTTTTTTGATATAAGTAGAACTTGTTGGGAATCTTCTAATAAAATTTCTAATGTTGTGAAAAAAATAACTTTTCGGTAAACTTTTTGTTTGATTAAGGTAGAGAAACTTGTTTGGAATCTTTAAAATTAATTAAATCATAAAATTTCAAATATTAGCTATAAAATTAAAAACTTATAAATTTCTAACTAAAAAATAATTTGCAAATTTTTGGGATTTTGATGAATTTTGCCAACATTTTAACTTCAAATGTATATAAAAAATAATCATGCCTAGACATCTATAATATTTGAACTGCTATACGGACTCTTAAATTATATTTTCAAGTTTTTTTACTGAGTAAAAAATTTTATATCGACAATAATTTAAAAAAACATTGAAAAATTTTAAAAGGATAGAGAAAAAAAACACAATATTGCAAATAAGTACAATACATTTATCGCTATGCTCAGAATCTAAAACTGAATTACCATATTTTATAGCATGCTTCAATTGTTTCAAATTATATTTGATGTACAATGTTGAAGAATTTAACTAATATAATATATAATATAACAGTTAGAAAATTAAAATAATTAGCCTGATTAATATAATTAATAATGTTTAATTGTATTCTTAAAAAATAGAAATTTATTAATAGTACTTATTACTTTCATTAATATTTCTAAAATAATAATTATATTTGCAGTTTTTGAAATTTCTTGATTAGGTTAATGTGACAGGCGATAGCACTCTACCCTATATTTTTCACTTTGAAAAAAATGTATGAATCTTATTTATCTATTAATAATTAACCATTAATTGGATAATATAATAGTGGGAATTAGGTATTTTTTATGGCACCAGTCCAATGTGCGACTTACATATAGGTATTGACCTATACTGCATTTTTAATAGTTATTAATTAATTAATTATTATATCCTTTAAATTTATAAATATTAATAGTTATTATAGTTATTAATTCATTTAAAATTATTATTTTATAATTAATTATCCTTCTTGTTTGATAAGAATTCATCGTAATTTTATGTATAATTTATGTCATAAAAACATCTTTCATGTCTGATAAAAATTTGTCAAATATAGTTTGCTTGTTTGGGTGAAGAGATCTCCACCACTCCTCTTTAAGTTGTCTCGGTAATAATGGATATGCGCCGTTTACTCTTATTTCATATCGCTTTTTCACTATTTTCCACAAACATTCTATGGTTTGGGTATTGGCATTTGTATCAGGATCAATAAACCATTTTTGATGATTCACAGTACTGTGTATGTACTGTATGTATCTACTTATCTCGGTTAATGATAAATTACTGTGACATCTATTATTTAAATCTAAGTACGAAAAAAATGGATTTTGTTTTCGAATTGAACAATAAATTTGGCAACCTCTTTTTGAACACTTAAAAGAAATGTATTTTTTAAAGGTACCATCTGAGTTTCGTTTTTTACTCGTTCTCTCACATTCCTTTAATATTCCACCACAATCTTTATTATTTCTCACAGAGAATCTCACTTTGGTACAACGATTATTATTTTCATTTAGAGATGGTAATAATCTCGGTTTTGCAAGAATTGAACACACATTTTTTCATCGTGTATAATATGTCAATATAGGTATCCTAATGTAGCACTCATAATAAAAAAATACAAATTTACTAAAATCACAATAACACCGTATTTAAAATAACTAAAACCAGTAAAACTCACAATAACGTAATTCGACAAAGACGGTAAGACCGTAACTGAATGCCGAACGATTTACAATTATCACGTTTGTATCTCTTTTCTTTTCACAAAAATAAATATATTTCCCCATGTCATATACACACATTGGCACACATTAGCCCGGCAAAGATAAGGATAGGTCAATTATCAGTTGTAGGTCGCACATTGGACCGGTGCCTTTTTTATATTTTATTCGTTTGTATAGTGATGAGCAAAGCGTTAATATTAAAAATTACAAATGTATGGAAAATAATCTGTTATTTGTTTCATAATATATAAAAACTAATTTTCAAGTATTATATAATTTTATTATTGGGTTTTGTTTGGTACCTAATTGAAAAAAATAATTAAATAAATTAAATAAATGTAAACAAACATTTTAAAATGGATTTATTTTTAATAGTGTTTACAATGTATGTAAATTATAGTTGTTAGTCAGTTAGTTATCTTAGTTGTGGAAGCAAAACAATCATACATTTTTATTTTCAGAATTGATAGTGAACTTCGAAAATGGATTGAACCAAAGAATTTAAAGTTACTGAATGATAACTTATCAATGGTTTATGTTGAACCTCCAATTATAAGTACTTCTATTGAACATTCCAAACATAATGTATACACTGGAGGAAACAAAGACAAAAAAATGGAAAAATTGCAAAAAAGGAATTTTAAGTAAGTACATGACATTTCATGTTAATTACACATCTGTTTTTAATTATATTAAATTCATAGAAAAAGAAAGCATGTTCCATCCAACAATGAGTTTATAGAAATATTTGGTCAGTTGAAGTTAGATAGTAAAGAAAGCTTATTTGACTCCATTGAAAGGCAAGATGATACTTTCTATGTTGTATCTTTTTCTGGTGATCATTTATTATTACCAGCTAGCCATAATGCTTCTAATACTACCCTCCGTCCAAAGATGTCACTTGTTTTTCCAACTTTGTCATCAAATGGTAAGAATTAATATATTAAAAAATTACATACTTATTATAATATATAGATTCTATAAATACACTTACATTTAACTCTTTATAGGTTCGGATTTTGTCACTATGATTCAAATTGACTGTGCAGTAACTGATACAAAAACATTACATATTCGAGACACTCACTTAAGACATCATAATGATTTTAAAAATAATATTTCATCAAACTTAAAACAGCATCAGGGTATTAAATAGTTTTTATAAAAAAATTGTGTCAAACAAGTAATTTTTACTTGAAACTAAAAAGATTTTAAATTTTTTTACAGACCATAGAAACGATATACCACACAAGCCCTATTTTGTACGACAAAATTACCCTGGTTCAATGTTTAGCAAAATGAATCATGAACTTCCAAGTTACTAATATTTCAATGTTATAAATTCAGAAATCATATCTCAACAATTTGCTTTTATGATTGAATGCAATTTTTTTTCGTATAATCATATCTACTAAACCATATACTAATAATATGAATTGTTATGTTTACTATTTCCTCCAAAAAGTGGCATTCAATTGGAAAGTTAAACTAATGATATAGGTATGATATAATTGAATTATTTTTAGATATGTACCCTATTTATAATTATTGAGCATATTATCATATGCAGTAAAATATAAAAATATAATATTATATTACATTTAAAAATTAATTTAATAGATTTTTGTTTTAGATTCTTTAAACTTAATTGTAGATAATTCATTATACAGCTTAGTCATAATAACTTAAAGTTTTTTCAATTCCTTCAAAATTTTCATTGTAATCCAAGGGTTTAATTGTTTTATCTTGAAAATTAATACTTATAAATATCATATTCATCTACTGAATTATTAAAATAAAATATATTAAGGCTGGGATTTCGATACACTTTTCATTATTTTCTGAATCTTGCTATGCAATGTTTTTTCTATAACATACATATTTCATATATTTTTGAATCAGAGTAAAAGGATTTAATTTTGCATTTTTTGACGATTTTAAATTTGTGGTAATTTTGGTCATTCTTTAGATGATTTTAAAATTTTTTGAGAAAATTTGAGTTTTAAATTTTATTTTAAGCTTTTACGTGTTTTTACGTGATTTTTATATACATTTAACAAACTATAACTATTTACAGTTAAATAAATATATAATGTAACCTACAAAAGAATAATTATTATTTTTCTAGATTAAAGAAGTCATAAATGATCAGTTCCATCTGTAAAACTTTTTAACAATCCTTTAAAATGTATGTCATTTAAACCAAATTTTGAATAGAATTTATATTGAAATTAAAAAAATTGGTACATTTTTTTCGTGCATTATTCAGAATTTTTAGGGCATAATAGCATTTTTTTATGGTATTAATATCCCATTCCCAGCCCTAGTTATTATTGTATTTTTTTGTAGTTTGGATTGACAATTCACTTGATACTAGTTTTTTTAAGTATGGAGATTATTTCTTTCATACCTATTTTATCACCTATTATATACCTGTCCAATCCTACCAGTATTAAAAACTGTCTAATATATAATATTAAGTTCGATAAATGTCCTTTTTTAGTTATATCATTCAAATTTAGATTGGTTAATTTGTTTATATTTATTTATCTTCAACTTTGAGTTATTAAGATTACTGTATTAATACTTATATAGCATAGATAATAACAATAACAAACTATTAAATGCTGATGTTAGTTTTTATTTTATATTTGCGTTTTTTGATGTAGATACCACTCTGTAAATAATCGTACCACATAGATTTGTGGTAGGTATATTAAACATATTACCTTATAACCACGGACGTATATTAATTATAGTGGTATATACGTCCATGCTGATAACTTATGTTAGTCCGTGATCTTGATTCTATATAATACTGTACTAAAAATAAAATGTATTATAAAATATTAAATTATAGAATTGTTTGTAATTTTATAATATTCCCAAGTCTTATTAGATATAACTATAAGCAATCAATAATTTACTATAACTCATTTTTTACAAATATATTATGATCAAAATATAGGTAACTAATATTGTTTTATTTTATTTTATATTTTAATTTATGTTAGAACAAATTTGTTTATGTATTTCTTTAATGGTTCCTTTTAAAAAAAATGTGGTAGGTTTATTTATTTGTTTTGGTTTTAAGTGAGATTTAACTATATTTATTATTATAATTTTTTTTTTCTTTTAAGTGTTATAAAATAGTATAATATTACTATATTAGCGTGATTTTTGTTTTGTATATTGTATTTTATATAAATAAATGAAACATTTTTTACGTCAAATTTTAATGTAAAATTGGCCTGTCTTAGGACTTACTTCCACCTGGGTATGAAGATATTAATTATGATTTCATCTAAACCAAATTATAGAAGGAAAAACATGCTATTTCAGTATTTAAAAATTAATGCAATAATGCAAATACAAAAATATGTTTATACATATTGTACATTTGTAATTATATGAATCTAGACATTTAGTCATCTAGAAAAAAAGCCAGGAAATAAAAACTTAAAGAAGGTCAATAATGTTATTGTTGGATTTCGTGCCGCCCCCCACCACATGAGTCCATTGTCAATTATAATGCATGTAAAATGTATAAAATAATTGTATTTTTAGTTTGAATGAAGGATAACTAAGCTTTAGTATTTTTGAAGGAAAACTTATGAGAAACAAATTTTATTCTATCCAGTTTCAAAACTTTTTGACCGAAAGTATCAACTTTGTTGGAAAAAACTAAAAAATTGTTTGGCAAGTAGGAACTATCCTGCAGACTGCAGTACAGTCGAATATGGGTCACTGTAATAGATGGATTATTCAATATTATCATTGTATACGAAAAATGATTATGAGCGAAGATGGTCGATCGACTAACAGCGTATGTCAATAGTATATTTCATTTTAGATTCTAAGTGGAACGATGAAGTATTGATTTTACAATGATGTATGTTTTTTTATTTTTTATTTTTGTTTGTCTACACGATAAGTAGTCGAAATAATGCTTTGATTTTCAACTTCAGTATCTTGTTCGATGGGAAGGTGAATATTGTTGGTGCATTGGGGAGGTTAAAATTTAAAATTCACAGTAATTTTCAAAAGCGCCAAGAAAAACAAAAGAAAAACTGGAATTTTTACGCAAAATCGACTTTGGTTTTTGGTGTAACTTTAAAACAAATGACCGTAGATACATGTAATTTTCACTGGTTGTTTATATTTGCATTTTCTATACACGATACATTTTTGAACTGTTTAGGGGAATTTTCAGTTTCTAATTTTATTAGTTTTTATTTCTATGAATGTCAATAAAACTTTATTTGTTGGGTAAAAAGGCTTAAAAATTCTATACAAGGCTCCTACTATATTGTTTCAATGACATTTGAAATATATTAAAAATCCTTTGTCACAGTTTTTATTTATAAGCATTTAAAGTTCAAATCTTGACAAAATACGGAAAAATCACGAAAATTAGAAAATTATTTTGAGTTGAGATTTCATAGGAAATTTTTCTTTTTAAATCTAAGATTTGAAAATGTAATACAAGATTCTTCATAAGTTTGTCTACCTGTCTACCTTTATCTAAAAAAGAATGTCTACAAGCAAATCAAAACAAATTTTTATGAGCGTTTGAAATTCATATTTTTACAATGTTTGATATTCACTCGATTTCTCATGGTAGCCGAAGTTTTGTTATTTTATTGTTATTCAAAACCTGTAGATACATGAACATTTTACTGAATGTTTATATTTTCATTTTCTTTACAGCATAACAAAATATTTTGACTCTTTTTGAGCTGTTTACGGACATTGTCAGTTTTCAATTTTCTTAGGCCGGGGCTAACCAATGCGTTTTTAATTCGACGGAAAACGCCGCGGAATACGCCGTGTATAGCCCCGGCCTTAGTTTTTTTTTTCTATAAATATCAATAAAATTGTATTTGTTGGTTAAAAAAGCAAGGCTCCTACTGTTTATTTCTAACCTAACCAAAAAATCAAAATAAAATATATACACAGTTTTTTTTTATAGTTACCTTAAGTTTAAATTTGGTTCAATATTTTTCGTGGGTATCTAAGCACCTACTTGAATACCTAACTTCTCAGGTACCTACCTACCTATATTATTATAAACACATATTGGAATATCAAATGTGATAATATGCAAATATGCAATTAATAATTATGTAAATAATGTTAGTTCAACTTACAAGGCTACCGTATTAATATAATAACAATATAAACATAAATTGTTGCCACCTTTAATATAAAATATCCTAGCCCCTAGGCTCAGTGGCTTAGGATTATGAAATATGGGGTGTTTTATAGAATAAAACCAAGATTTTACAGTGTTTTTACCTTTATAAATAAATGTAGGGTTCGGGACTTGACTTGTTGCACTAAAAATTATCGAAATATGCAGTCAAAATTGTCAAAATATGCTTAAGGGGGCTGCAGCACTACATTTTTTCCATACATTTAGACCAATAAGCGAAAGAAAATTAAACATACTTCCAGTAGCTCGATTTCAATTTTGAAAACGGAATTCGATTTGCATTCCTCTTTTCTAAGTTTACTCGGAAGTGGATTTTTATATATTTAATTTCGTCCCTATCTACAACTAAGTTAAGTATAAGTTTATTTTGAGAAAAATGTAAACTTATTATGCATTATATTATATTAACTAAAAATAAAATCGTAAATCTACTTCCGAGCAAACCTAGAAAATAGACTAACGAATATAATCATCTTTTCAAAATTAATATAAGTCGATCAAAACAAGCTGAATTTTCATTTCTCTTTTGGTACTGTTTGCATAAAATTGCTGTCCTAGAGCAGGAGCAAAAGTATTTACTTCGTGTTCATTGACTTTTGCATGCGCGTATGGGCGTTAGAACATTTCTAAGAATCTTAGTAGCCATAACAATAGTACCCTCATTCCGAACGATTATAAATCAATTAGAGCTAATGACTACGGAAATGAAATAATAATATATTATATAATAATTGTAAAGTATAAAATATATGGTAATAACTAATAACTAATAAGTAATAACTAGTAATAACTAATAAGTAAATTTATGTTACTACAAAACAAAATATTATGATTAGTTGTGACGTTGTGTTCAACTATTCAGCCGGTTAAGTTCAATTTGTTTTTCTTGTCCGTGATTACTTTTTTAAATTTTAAAATGAATGAAGACTGGCGTTTTGGTAAAAAAGCGCTTCTCAAGCTATGTGCACCACGGAAAAAACCAAATTTGGCTAACGTGAAACGGAAAAAACTCGAAGATCATGAAAACAATGATGAGGTAGGTATTTATAATATATTGAATAGATTGAATTTTTTTTTTTTGTATCTGTTTACACGAATAACGTTATAAGGTACATTAAAAACTTTTAGTGGTAATGCTGCTACGCGATATGGAATTGCACACAAAGATATGGCTAAAGAAGAGTTGGAGAAAATAATTGGAAAAAAAATTAAATTTTAGTTGCCCCTAATAAATTTAGTAAATGCAACTTAATATACCTGGTATCAACCATTTTCTTATCAGTGGTATAGGAGCTAACTAGGAAGGAGCAGCTATCTTCACGGACATGGAACTTGGAAGCACAGACTTCTATACTACACTAGATAAGGAACTCTTATACAATTTACATTGTTACAAGCATAGACCTATAAACTAATGGACTGCGCCTCCCTCACCAACCAGCCATCAATGAGTGGCGCCAATATAGAGTGAGTGAGAAAGAACATATTGGGGGAATCTTGGTGGACAATCATATAAGAGAAAGAGAGAAAAAACATAATGGGGGAAATCATAGACGTATGAAACTAATACTGTATATCGTACCCCTGACCTCTCTCTCTAAGCGCTGTCCATTAGTTTATAGGTCTATGGTTACAAGTGAAGCTCAGCTGTGAACGGCCGCCATTTTGTCGGTTGGCAAAACATTTCATTTATTATACAAAATGTAGGTATTAGGAATAATATTTTTTTTAACGGTCAAATAAAATAGTAAATGTAAAATGACTTATATAAAATATTTTTTTTTTTTTGTAAACTAAATGTTTAAAAATAATAAAATACGATATAAAATAAATCATAATATCATCTTATTTGTCATATGAAATACCATACAATTGCCAACCGACCTTGAGGCTTCAATTCATGACCGGAGTTCGCTATCTAGTAATATATAGAAATCTGTGCTTGGAAGTGACCACGGAGTCTGTGGGATCAGCAAAGTTTCTTATCTTGTTGTAAGTACTTCTTATCAGTTTTCAAAACATAATTTTTATCACCATTCACCAATTTTAATTCTGAAAATTTAATTTTAAAATGACTTCTCCAAGATCAAAATCTCCTAAGCCACAGAATTCGTTTAGGAAAGATGATAGCAAAGAAGAGACAACATTTTGGGACAAAATTGGGACGTTAGGACGTAAAAAGCGAATAAAGGAAGGTAAGCACTTCAACGTTACCTTATATGGTCATCGCCAGTGTCCGAGACTTATAGGTCTATAGCACAAGGAAATAATGAAATAAGTATGCGTTATAATATGCCTTGAATAAATGTAAAATATGCAGTATAATACAGAGGAGGATTGTAGGAAATACTTTATCCTGCTCAGAGGGTATACATAAGTCACAATTTTTGATTCTAGTTGTCACTTATTGTCATAGTATTTGATTGGGTCTATAAATCGGTTAAGAAATTGGCATAATTTCATGAAATATTTTTTTTTTTTTTTAACATTTATTTGAATATATATAATCAGTAATAATAGTTACAATAAGCATATGAGCTGGATTACAATAAAATTGGCTTTGAAAGCGTGAGGGGAGTAGTTACCCAGCAGTAACACTCAATGTGAAATTCATGAAATATAAAATATGAGACTATGTTAACGATTTAATCTCTACTTTTGGAGTGGTTTTTAATTTGTATTTCAATATTTTACTTTATGCAAACAAATTAACTTAACTTAACATTTAATCAGTGTTGGGTAAGTTACTTTTAAAAAGTAATTAAGTTACTTTACTCGTTACTAAGAGATAAATGTAATTAAGTTACTTTACTCGTAACTCAAATAAAATTGTAAAGAAATTACTTTACTTTTCAAGTAGAAAAGTAACTCATTACTTTCTCGTTTCAAAAATAAAAATAAATTTTTAATTTCTTGGCAATTATCTTCTGCAGGCAAATTGAACCAGCAAATTCTTTATAAAACCTGTATAGTTAATAGGATCATATACAATTTAGTCTTCCACACAAGCTATATTCATAAGAAACCTATTTAAAGGAATCAAATTAAATAATAAATTTAATTAACTGTTCTCGTGATTTGCGGTGCAATTAGACATTTCAAATGTCAAAACCATTGAAAACTGAGTTGTGTCCAGTTAAAATTAAATATATATACATATTAGATTGGTTAACATAATAATACCCACATTATACATATTTTTTTTTTCAATTCGCAATAGGTAGGTAGGTTCTTACTAATTCGAAACTGTAACGTGTTATTCTATAGTAATTACTTTTCATAAGTACTTTTCGTTACTTAGAAATAATTCTAATGAAATTACGTAACGCGTTACAATCTAAGTAACGCGTTACTTTCGTTACGTTACTACCCAACACTGCATTTAATACATTAATTGTGGCTTGGCGTGGCGCTTTAGCTGCTACCAGTCGCGGAATGTGACTGGAAGTAAGTAACGGCCACGGCTACTAGCTCTCGTATGACCACCCAAGTTTATAGTAGTTAAAATTCTTGCTACACATACATACCATAAACAATCGTAAAACACAACCTATAGTACCAACCTTATCCCTACCACAGTTCATAACCCCTACAACAGCTAATGGCCATAGCCGCCAGGCTTAATTTCAATAAAAAAAAAAAAAATTAGTTTATACTATATATCACACATCCCTAATTTTCTTTGGCCCAGGTACTAGCTTCTACTGTAATATGCTCTTTAAGTCACACAATGTGCTGTATAAAATAAAAAAAATAGATAAGATATTTATAATAAACTCAATATCCACTTTCATAGCAGCTTACAGCATATTACCAAAACAATTTTATCCATAAACATTGTATCATTCTGTGAACGGCACGCTGTACATGACATAGTTTGGATAAACAGCTATCTGCAAGACATATGTTCAGGGTACAGCGCTATACATTTTGAACAGCCACTGTTATTTTTGTTGAATAGGAATTTAGTCTTACATTTTCACATAAACACAAAATATAATGTACAATGGACATGTGCGTAAATACCTACATAATTTTTTTCTACATTAATTAATAGTTAGCAGAATAGCAGAAGAAACGCGGACATATGTATTCATATCTTTTTGGAATTTAATTATTTTTAGTATAATATAAAATTGTTTGATTTATTATAACTTATTCTGATATCTTCTAATTTCCTATAAACAATTAATAATGCTAGAAGTCTTGAGCTCTGGTCATCAATTAGTCCTTGTCGTATTAGTGGATTAATATTAATTTGACATTGTTACAGTGCAAGAAGTTCAGGAAGAGGGTAAATATGCTATTGACTCTCCAGGCAATCCGGCAATGGCTGATGTTCCTCCTGAAGAATATACTCTTGGTACTTTATTGTTTTACACCTACTCAAAATTTAAAAAGAGAAAGAGTATTGTTTAATTATTTGTATCACTTAATATTTTAGAGGAGAATGAGGAACGGACTATGGTGGAACCAAAGTCCTATTCTGATCCTAAATTACAAGAGTTAATGAATATCTTAATTGATTGGGTAAATGATGTGTTAGCTGATCATCGAATCATCGTTAAAAATTTAGAACAAGATCTATATGATGGACAAGTTTTACAAAAACTCTATGGTAAATAATTAAACTTAACCTTTGTATTAAGGAAATAAGGAATTTAATACAAATAAACTTTAAATAAGAAAAATATAATACCTTGTATTATTTTTACAACATTAGTATTTAATTTATAATAGAAAGATAAACCATACAGTACAAATATTCCTATTGTCTGGGAAATCTCTATTATAAAACTAATGACAATAGATCAAAATATTTAATCTATTCTGTGGTATTAGTTATGTTGAAATTAATTAGTGACAAATTGGGTTTTTTTAAACTAACCTGATGGCTGATTAATTGATTAAATTATAACAAGATAATATTTTTCTCTTTATACATTTAACAAATTAACAAAAGGAGAAAATATATTTATATATTTAAAATTTATCATGATTTTAGTTAAAAAATATATATTAACTGCGTATCTGTGTAATTTGTTTGATGTATATTAATTATAAAAAATACAATGTTCTAAACTAGTTAGAGTTAAATATACATTGGTATATTTGTTTCAATTAACGTTAAATATTTTTTTTATTTTATAATTAATATTCAATGATTAATACAAATTATTTTTAGAAAAATTGACTAACGAAAAGTTGGATGTTCCTGAAGTAACTCAATCCGAGGAAGGGCAAAAACAAAAATTGTATGTTGTTCTTGGATCTGTAAACAATGTAAGTAAATGCTGAAATTTAAACCCATTTTGATTAAAAGTTAAGAACTCATTTAAATTTATTTTATTTTCCTAGATCTTGGGTCTGACTGGTAACAGACTATCACAACAAAAATGGAGTGTTGAAAGTGTTCATTCCAAAAACCTTGTAGCCATTTTGCATTTATTGGTATCACTAGCTCGTCATTTTCGAGCTCCAATTCGTCTTCCTGAAAATGTCACTGTCAATGTAGTGATTGTACAGGTGTTTTTAAAATAAATATAATATACATTTAAATAGTATTGAATATTATTGGTTCATTTTTATAAACCATAAATAATATTCATATAGAAACGTGATGGAGTGTTGAAGAATCGAACTGTAATTGAAGAGATCACATCCAGGTACGATGATCTTGGTATGAGATGCGAGCGTGATGCTTTTGATACATTGTTTGATCATGCACCTGACAAATTAGAAGTGGTTAAAAAAGTATGAAATACAAAATTATTTTTTAGAGTTTATTTTTATATTGTTATTGACTTATTGGATTTTTCAGTCTTTGGTGACATTTGTTAACAAACATTTGAATAAAATTAACATGGAAGTTCAAGATTTAGACACACAATTCCATGATGGTGTTTACTTGACATTATTAATGGGATTACTTGAAGGGTTTTTTGTGCCACTATATTCATTTAATTTGTCACCTCAAAATTTTGAACAGAAAGTACATAATGTCAATGTGGCATTTGATTTAATGCAAGAAATTGGACTTGCTGCGCCTAAAGCAAGACCTGAAGGTAACATATTTTATTTCTTAAAGTTTAAACAAATAGATTTTTATTTAATTGTTTAGAGAAAGATAGGAATAGATGAGGATAGAGAGGTAATGATAAATTTTTTTTGGGGTTTTCCGGCCTTTAAGCCCATCCCGTAAAACAAATTTCCCTCCAACCTATTCTGTTTTCAGCTATTTCTCTCCAGTTTGCTCTTGGGTTTACTTCTTTAACTTCTCTCTTCACACAGTCTTCCCATCTGAGGCGTGGTCTGCCTAGTGGTCTTTTTCCTTTCGGTTCCTCTTTAATTACTCTGTTTATCATAGCGCCTTTTTTCCTCCAAGCGTGACCTTCCCACATCAGTCTTATTTTTGCAACTTCCCTTGAAATACATGGTCTTTGGAACAAGTTTTTTAGTTGCTCTTTGGTTTAGTTAGTAACAACTACTATCAAGAAAGTTCAAAATGAGTTCTTACATTTTTTAGCTTTCAAGTGTAATATACCCTGAACTCCCAATACATCTTACCAATTACCATTCTTTACTTACTTACCTAAATATTGAATGCCTTGAACAGCGCAGAATCAGACTTGATTTATATTTTATTTATAAATTATTAAATGGCTATATTGACTGTCCTAACTTATTAACCCTTCTATCATTCAAAGTTTCCTCAGCTCACACCCTATCAACTAACCTATTTTATTTAAAATCTCAAACTATTAATTATGCTACTAACACACCACTCTTAAGAATCATACAATTTGTAAATGAATATAATATTAGTCCATTTTGTATTTGTTCTATTTTCTTTAATTCATTTTCAAATCATGTTTCCACTAAACTATTTACTCATATAAATTCATATATCTATATAATATTGATTGTATAAAAATCATTATTTTTATTGTTAAATAATATTTTCAAATGCTATGTATTGATAAATGCATGTAATTACTAATTGGGTCAAAACCCGTATAATTCGATGCCTAAGAGGCCAAAGTTGTATGTCCCAAACACTACATTTTTTCAGGAGAGCAGTTTTAAGATTTTAAATTATTCTACACCAAATAATTTGTGTTGTAGATTTTTGTTTTTTGGTGTTGCAATTTATTTGTAAAATATTTTGTAGATTACATAAATTATTACTTTTAGGTCTTAACATTTCAATTTAATAAATATTTTAAATTTCTGAAATTGTAAGTTCTTAAAACCAAATCTTGGGGAAGTTCAAAGTTCAAGTAAAAATATTGATAAACAAAAAAAATTTCATACAAAATTTATATCTGTTTTCTTGCTTTATTACTCAAAATTATATTTTTGATTCAAATAATTAGTTTAATTTGTTCAATATCAACTACCAAAAAGTATGAATGATTTAATAATATAAGTCAATAATTATTAATTTTTGTTTTGTTTTTTTTTTTTTATTTAGATATTGTAAACTTGGATTTGAAATCAACATTAAGAGTGCTTTATAATCTTTTTACCAAGTATAAAAATGTATACTAATCAAAACTAGATCTAATAATTGAGAATTATTAATCTTATTAAAACGTAACATATATTTAAGTGACATCATTGTTAATCAAACACAAGATATATGCACTTGATGTATGGAATAAGGTAACTGTGCACTCATCTAATAATTTAAGTGATTTGCTATAGTAATAGCTTAACAATCAATATTATAAATATATTTTGGTATTATTTAAGTTTTCATATTATACTATAAGTATTATATTTTATATGCAATTGTTATAATAATACGATAACTAACTAACTAATTGTATGTATTTATTAATTTAGTAATATTATTTAATATTTTATTGTAGGCATTATAACATTTTATATTTTATGAATATATTATTGTTTCATTCACAAACCAATATAAATTTTACATTGTTTAACAATAGTCTATATTAGCATAAACCTAATAGTCATATTTGTTAAAGTAGACAAGTAGTCTTGTTAGGTTTTAAATTTGGATAAGTTTTACATCCTATTTAATTTGGTAAATAACTATTTTTAAAAATGAAATTATTAATCTTTATAATTTGAAATATTTGAATACAATATTTATCACCAAATTAATAAAATGAAGTGTAACAACAAAAAATATGCATTTTAGATGTTTATACTTTATGATAGGTATACCTATCAACTGCAGACGGGGCACCGGCTTATTTATGGTGATTGGGGCCTCTAATTTTGTACCTATTAATATTATTATTATTTGTTTATAAACAATCTTGAGAAGTTCTCAATAATTATTAAAATAATGACATTTTCATTTTAATTCTACAAATTTAATAGCAGTCTATATACAATTAATATGTATCATTGATTATAAAAAGCGTAAAATTGTTGTGACTATTAAATATTATTATATTATATTTATACGGGCGTATGCGTATGGCTTGGTATTTGCATTATCACTGATTGCAACTGAATTAATTTACATTTGGATAAATATTGTACTCGTGATAATTTGACACACTTTGAATCAGTGTTTTTCTTTATAATGTTTGATATCACAGGTGGTGTAGCCAGTGTAGGGGCTAAGCCTCAGTGGCATAATTTGGGGGTTGGATGCCTGGATAGGAGGGATTTCCCCTGTCTGATAATAAAAAAAATCCAATGGGTCTCTTAGCTTTGTTGTCAATTTACTTAGGACCTGCAGAAAATGTCTTACCATTTAAGAATATGCTCAATATAAATTCTATTTTGAAAATAAAGTAAAACCAGTTAATATATTCAATGATTGAATTTTAGTTAGGTAGATATTTAGTTATTTGTGCCTATATGGCTAGGTATATGGCTGTATGATAAATATGCAAGATGGCGATTGTATTGAAAAAATATGTACATGAAAATTGGATTGCGAGCGAAGTGACCTTTTTTTTCTGGGCTAGTCAAAACATTCTCCATTTGCCCTTTGGGGACCCTTTTTTAAAATCCCGGACCGGGCCTTTTCGAGCCAGTCCAACACTGTTTAATGTATATAATGTGGTTATATAAAGAGGTCCCATCAGAACTTTAAATGTGGGCCAAAATTCTATGGTTACACATTAGTGTACACCACTGTAACTCTTATAAATTAGGCTTATTAAAGTTTTAATAATTAACTCAGAGGGTACCATCGCTGGATGTTTTCCCTCATCTTTTGTTTCATGTTTTTTTTTTTTTTTATATGTATGTATGTAGTGTTATATCTGTTATCAATTCTGCCTATTGTGTAATATTATACAGATTGTAGATTTTCTAAATTAATAAAAAAAAAAAAAAAAATAATTAACTCAGTTTTGTCACAAAATTATTTTAATATATATTTCAATTCATATTTATAAATAAAAATTGGATACAAAACACTTTAAAAACAAGAACACTAATAAAAAAAATAACTAAAATATATCACAAGTATAATACTTCTACAGAATCGCATCTTAGTTTATTGTTCACTTTGATAAACTTTATTTTACAGCTACGCTGTTGGTGTAAATACAGTTGTTTTTTGCAAAAAACTACTTGATCATCAACAACACTGCTAATCCACGTGGTTGATGGGAAATACATTGCAGATAGTTTATGTGTTTCAAGTGCAGTGTCTTGTGTTGAAACAGTTAAATATGATGTAGAATTATGTACTTTACTACAATATGAAATGGCATCACACAAACAAGCACATAGCATGTGTGCTAGTCTTGTAGTTTGATCACTATCTTCATTCCTATAGTAATTATTTAAGTCTGATACTAAAATTACATGTGGCACATTTGGACTGGTTTCGTGTAATGAACAAGTGTACTTGACAAGATCTTCCCACTGTGACAATGTTCTAGATGTGAAAAATTAAAAAATATGGTTTAATATTAAAATTAAATAATTGAATGGTTCGAGATCAATTTAATTACAGGAATGTAATGCGATTCAGTGCATGTACACTAGGCGGCTTCGCACCATCTAATGGAATTGGTAGAGATTTCATCTGAGACATTTGAATGTAAACCACTCGATATCCAAATTCAGACCAGTATACAGCGCTCTATATATTGTAAACAAACAAAACAATAATATATTAATATTTACAACTTTGCAAAATAAAAAAATGTAAATGTAAATGTGTTAGATTTTGAGTGGAATGATTCTTACACTCTTACAGTTTTTACATTTTTATTATTGTCTAGTTTCCACTGTAAACATACATTATGGGTAGGTGTTACGAGTACTAAACAATTTCATAAGATCCTAGCCATGACCTAACAACTACCCTAGCCATAAACGCAACTTAGGTGGGAATAGATGGTCTCATTTTTTTTAGTTTTCCCAATAGCTCTCAGTTGTTTATATCCAATATTGATAAACATTGAATATAAGTACTATTGTAGTAGTACTATATTACCAATCAATTAAATATAAATGTTTTATAAAAATATATTTTTATGATACTGACAATAAAAATATTAATCTTAACAAAAAATATAATCACCAATTTAAGCTTCTTTAGTTAAATAACCCATTTGCTAAAGATAAGTATTTGGTTAAATGCTCTTAAGTTTATAGATGATACCCCACATTTTAAAATTAAAAATGTATTTTAGTAAAAGTGGGTGTACGACTTATACTTAGTCTACAAATCTTATTTAGGTTTATATTAATTTTTTGGCTGCATACTACTTATACTTCTTTCCAAATAAGAATACACCAGGTGGCGACTGGTTCCGGACCAGCTGTGCGCATCTCCTACATAAAGGCATAGGTAGGTAGTGGCCAGTGGAAGGGGAAATAAGTGAGCAAAATGCATTCTTATATGGAAAGGAATATAGGTAGTACTTATGTAGGTTCAACAGCCAACATGCATCCCGTTAGTTATATCATGTAATACAAATTATCGACATAAATTGTATATAACTACCAAAAGTTGATAGTTGCTAACTAACTATGCAGGTAGTTTAAAAAAGAAAATGCTTTGACGAAAATTAAATTAGAATTTTTCTGTTAATCGGTTTCAAGTACCTACTATCTATACACTGCTCTTTTTTAGTTATAATTATAATGTAAACGTTAATTAGTATCATTATATTTATTTACTTTGAAATAAAACGTAACATTATAAAAAAATTAAAAATATTACCTACTTCAAATAATAAAGACTGAGAGTAAGCTATTGATGTGCCACAAAGCAACGTACATTTTGCTTTAGAACTGTCCATAGAAAATAAACTATTCAAAATCTGAACTAAAAACTTGAATAATACACTTTAAATGTTTACATGATATAATATAATAGTATATTATTAATTAATTGATTTACAAATAAGAAATGAAACCGTCGTCCGTCATGGCTAAATTGTAAATTTATGTGAGCTAAATGTGAGCCGACTTAACATTTTAAAATTTTATTTTTATCACTTGTTGACTGATAAGTGATAAGTGATAGATTTTTTGAAAATAGAGATTCTGTTATGCAGATTACAGGCCACAAATATCTTAATACCTATCTTAAGGAAAAATCCATACGAAGATATCTTAATTCTTGTTACAGGCACTTAATTTAGAATAATACCACCTAGAATCAAAGTTGTGGATATTATCTATCCTAGGTACCTATCGGCTACCAACACAGAACAATCAACAGACCAATATTGTATTATTGCTGGTATAGTGGTATACTGGTATGGACCCGTATGGTTTGTGAGAGGTGAGAGGATGGTTTGCAAATAGCCAAAACGTTTCTTCCACTTTCATCATAATTTTCATATTATTTTAGTCTTTAGACTTTGGTGTTGTGCACGGGCCCATCATCACTGGGCACATACTTACCTATAATAGGTACCTAGGTATTTTTATATGACATATTCACGATGTAGAGAAGAAATCTTACATCTACATCGTGTTCGTATTAAAATTATATCAAGTATTCAAGCGGTCATTACCTACTCATTTGTATTTTTTATGGTGTAAAAAGAATAGGTAACTACCTAGTACCTACTTACATTTTAAGACAAACTTAAGAAAAATATAAAGTTATAATAATTATTATTTACTATGTACCACCTATTATATACAAATATATTTATATTCGTAATTCGTGAGTTAGATAGGTACCATATTATTATGTCAGTGCCACAGTGCCATCTAATATTCCAATGTGTCGTCACTTAACCAACTGACCATTTTTTGACTACATAATATTATTATTGTCTGTAAATTATATTTTGTACTATTTTCTTCCTGGATGTTGATAACAACAATAATAATTATTATTGTATCAAATGTTTTATATAATTTTTGCCCTTTTGGCAAAATGGCAACATTAATTAAACCATCTACCTACCAACACGGCAATACATAAATGCATATTACTAGACGTACCTAAACTTGTGACTATTGTCTATTAATATGCGTATCTATACGACTATACATATTAGGTACCTACGATTATTTAAGTAGGTATATAAGGTATATTCATATACTAGCTGATCCCGTGCACTTCGTCGCCCGTTAAATGGATCAACTCAATACTACCTACTCAAACTTTGTTCAATTCATTAACGTGTATGGTGTTCAAAATTTATCTTATCTTTCCCGTTGCCCTGAATAAAAATTCTGAATCGCAGCAGTACATTATCAGGTAGGCAATCTACCTGCGGTAGATCGCGGACCCCGTGCTGTTTGTACGGAAGTGTATGATTTAACTCTAAAGTATCAAAGTTATACCAAGTTTATTTTGATGTAATACTGTGGATTAATATAATAAATTTGGTTGCTCGTAAAAAATCGCAACTCTTAAAAAAATTATGATTGTTGAACTCCTTTTGGGTGTAATTTTCTGCGGTAAGTGCAACTCTGCCACCCTGGTAAGCATTGTTCAATAATTCGATTTGATGCAAGCTTGTACCTGATCTGCCCGAATATCCAATGGCAACCAATAAATAAATGCTAATTTCTAATGTAGACTGTAACCAATGGCAACTATAAATAAATAAAAATAAAATTTCCAATTTCTATCGTGAATCTCAATGTCCCTGTTTCAGCACCTATTTAAAATGCGAATTTTGGCAAATCCTTTCTTAGCGCACGTCTATATTATAATAGCTATCTGTATGCCAAATTTCAGCCAGATCCGTCCAATGGTTTGAGCTGTGCGTTGATAGCAGTCAATCAGCTTACTGTTTTTTATATACAGATATGGTTGCCATGGTAATATGGACACACACACACACACACACACTGACATACATTCATTTTTATATATTATATAGATTGATATGAAATCTTGGTAACCTTAGTAACCATGGCAACCTTGGTAACCATGGTAACATGGACACACAGACACACAGACACACTGACATACATTCATTTTTATATATCATATATATATAATACTTTTACATAATTATATCGATGTAATGATGTTTGAAACAAAAAAGTATAACTTCCTCAGTCGAGGAGCAGGGAAAAGAAAAAAAGGAGGACGAAATGAACAATCTTGTTTTACAACTTAAAACTCTCCCGGAGAGAGGTGATCGCCGATCTGAGGCAGATTGAGCCGACGTGCCACGAGTGAGGCCGGGGCTACACAGCGTATTCCGCGTACTGTAGTAATAAGCCCGTCAATTCGACGGAAAACGTTGTGGAATACGCCCTGTATAGCCCCGGCTATGGGGCTTCGCCACGCCACAGTCGGCCTCACTCCCGTACCTCGCCATTAGATGTATCACATTAAAAAATGAGGAGATTTTTCAGACATTTTATTTTCTGAGAGGAGCGATAATGTATTGACTTTATAGTGATATGTGTTTTTTTTTTAATTTTAATTTTTGTGTCTGTCATCACCGTTTGTGGTAGTAAAACTGCTTCGATTTTCTTCAACAGTATCTTGTTCGACGGGAAAGTGAATCTAGTTGGTGCATTCAGGAGGTCAAAATTTAAAATTCTCAATAATTTGCAAAAGCGCTGGCAAAAACAAAATAACAATTAAGGAAAAACGATAATTTTTACTCAAAAGGAATGACAAAATCGATTTTGGATTTTGGTCTTTGGAATAACTCTAAAACAAATGAACGTCGTATATTATACATGAAATTTTTACTGGTTGTTTATATTTACATTTTCTATACACAATAAAATCTTCAAAATATTTTGATTTGTTTTGAACTGTTTATAGGAACATTTTCTGTTTCCAATTTTATTAGTCTTTTTTTCTATAAATATCAATAAAAATGTATTAATTTGGTCAAAAAGCTTGAATATCTTATACAAGGCTCCTAATATATTGTTACAATGACATTTGAAAAATAATAAAAATTCTTTGTCACAGTTTTTATTTATAAGCATTTAAAGTTCGATTTTTGACAAAAGGCGTAAGAATCACGAAAATGTTCAAGATTCCTAATAAGTTTGTCTACCTTTCCCAAAAAAAAAATGTCTACGAGAAAGTCAAATTAAATTTTTATGACCAATATTGGATACCTAGGTATATTCACTCGATTATTTCTCAAGTATAGCGATTTTCTTATTTTGCTGTAACTCAAAAACGAAAAACCGTAGATATTTGAAATTTACACCATATGTTTATTTTATCCTTTCCTATCCTTGATAACATTTTCAAAATATTTTGACTCATTTAAAATTTTTTTAGTTTTTTTTCTATAAATGTCAATAAAATGTTATTTGTTTGTTAAAAAAGCGTGAAATTTTAATACAAGGCTCCTGTTATATTGTTACAATAGCAGTTGAAAAACATTAAAAATACATAGGCAAACATTTTTAAATTTTTTTATAAGCATTGAAAGTTCGAATTTTGATCAAATTTATCAAATTTAAAATGTAATAATTATTTTGTAGTTAAAAATGTATAAAATGTTCAAATTTTATAGCTAACGATTGAAAATTTAAAACAAAGTTCCACGTAAATAGGCTATATTATAATAAATAAATTACTTTATTCACAATTATATTTCATCAAATATACTTAGTACCTATAAGCTAATACATAGACTATCTGATCGTCTTCGCTCAGAATCGTTTTTCTTACACACTATATACAGTGATATTATATCATTGAATTCAAATTTAACACCATGTCTATTACAGTGGCCCACTTGTATAACCTATTATATAGTATGACAGAACAACACCCACTTGCCCATCTTTTTTATATATTTATGTATAAGTACTCATATTTTAAAAGTATTAAGTGGGGACTGCAAATATAACACATTTAATTATTATGTGTACCTACCTATATTAAAAACCGTTATTACCAGCAAAAAATATATAAACTGGGACCGTGAATGCCGTGATTACTTTTTTGTTGTAATCTCAACTTGATAATTTTCACCGATAAAATATAATAAGCACAACATAATTAATTGATCAAACATATTAAATAATAATAAATAACGTATATATAATATATTACCTAGGTACATTTATATCATTTAATTCTGCTAGATATAACGAATTTGCATACTTTTAATTTTTAAATTATTTAAAAATGAAAATAAAATGATACATTATTGGAGGATAATGAGAATCACCTGGTCGTGGTGTCCTCACTCCTCTGGGTCATTCTAAATCAGGGTAATACCTATATATAGTTATTAATTTGTAAGTTCTGGAGTTATATGTTGACATCACGACAAAATATATTTAAATAGAATTCCTTAATATAATACGATATACCCCTCCCCCATCAGTACAAATCCTAATTATGTCACTGTTGCTAAATGGATCTCAAAAATATTATACAATAATCATAGGTCTGAGCATATTATTTTTATTCCGGCTGAGTTCACATACAGTAATGTTTATACCGGAAAAAAACCCAGCCGAGTTTACAATCGCCTATTGACAGAATCGTATCGAGATAAGAAAGGACCTAATATTTTCTAAGGCTCTAATTAATATTATCTTAATGAAAAATCAAAATATTCACATCTAATATTGTTTTTTCAATAATTGTTAAATGTTAATACTTATAGGAAGGTATGGAAATAATTAACAGATAATTAATAAATAGGTATACAAAGTATTAAGGAAATACAGTTTATTACTATTCTTTCTGATAAATGCTTCCAGTCTTTAAGTCCATGTAGGTACTTCTTTTATCTTTGTAAAGAAAACAATTTACACGGTTGACAATATATTGCATCTAGGCAATGTGGAATAACACAACCAAAAACGAGTCAATAGGTACATATTATTA